TTTTTTTTCTAAAGCTATATTCTTCTCTCAATTTCTTCTTATTTTATTTATTTATTTTTAACTATACTCTTCTCTCAATTTTTTCCTCACACTACCTACCTACCACTACTCCTACCTATAGGCATACGGGGAAACCCGTAGCATACCAGAGCCGTATTTTTACTCCTCTCAATTTAACCTCACACTACCTACCTACCACTACTCCTAACTGTAGGCATACGGGGAACCCCGTAGCAGCCAGAACCTTCTTCTCTCAATTTCACGTTTCCAAAAAAAAAATCAAAAAAAAATTGTTGTTGTTTTTTTGTTCTTTTTGATGTCTGGCCGTTACCTAGCCCACGTGACGGAACGCGAGCAACGTCCCTGCTCACAGCAGGTGCAACAGACGAAAAATATGGTGGTGTATCTTCCCTGGTTCTAACGAAAGATTCGTTCTCATTTTGCACGTTTGCTTAGTAGTGGAGGGAGGCCCAGACTGCATGCATTTGGATGCTATTTAGACCTCATACATTCATAATGTTGGACTCATTTGCACCTGGGTCAGAAAGATAACAAATGCATGTGTTTTTGTGCAGCGGAGTGAGGCCTACCTACCACCATTCCTAAGGCTTATACAGGGGACCCCGGCGAATATAGCTTAGCTCTACCTTAGTTCTACCCTCCTGTCTTTCACCCCCCTCTTTTTTGAAATCCTTCAATTAGACTACTGTTAACGACTAGTTTGTTAGGTCTGTAGGACTGGTTGAAGAATTCGTTAGCATATATAGGCTAGACACGGTTTCTGCTGTAGGAATAGGTTAAGTTGAGCAACACAGAAGCTAAACCGACTGATGCTGCCGGGATAACTCCGGGTTGAATTGTGAGGTCCCCGGCCAGCCATAAGAGGGAATGCATCTTGCGCCCTTCTTCCCCGGAGGCCCTGTATGCCTGGTTTTCCTCCTCTTTTTTTGTTTCTTTACCGAAGGTGGCGTGCCTGACGAATTGAGCTGCGCCACTAGATCTGCTGTGAGGTATCATAAGTGGGCGACCCTAAATATTGCACACTCATTTTATCGTGCGCATCACGTTTCTGGATTCGAACTTGGGTCTGTAAGTCTCGGTCCTGCACCTCATTACTGCTATCGGATTTGCGGTGACAATACAGGCTGCGGACCCGCGTCCTCGCGGTATGTCAGTGATTTTGCGATGTTGGGGGCCTAGAGTGAGTATGCCCTTGTTCTGGTCTGCCTATCGAAAGTTTCATGGGTGTACCATTCTATCACATGGGCTGGTCCCCTACCCCTCTTCCCCCAAACATAGCACATACGTGTTGTAAACGGATACAATGCATACCTTGCTTGCTATTTCAATACAAAGCATGGCGTTCTGTTCCAACATCCCTTATTTTCTAATACAACGCACATGTGTTTTATTTTAAGATTTGAATTTTTTGAAAACTCGAATACAGCGCACATGCATTATGTTGGGGGGAAGATGGGTAGGATTTCTGATATTGCGGTGCACGCTCCTAGCGGCAATTCAATTTGTGAAATGTCCATCAAAAAATATGGGCCTGAAATTCTTTCCCTGGGTGCTGTTGCAGGTTCAACTCTGTTAGATGCCCCCCTACTTCTGGCCATTAGGTACCAACCAGTGGGCAAGCATTGGAGGCCCAGGAGCACTGCACAAATCGCAACAGACCTGACAAGGGTCTGCAACAGACCTGCAGGTGTCAGAAGGGCACAACTCAACTATTGGAATTTACAAGGGCAGCCCCTAAATTATAGAGGCAAGTTGTATTTGCCCTACTAGGAAGTGTGATATGAGCAACCCTCCATGGTAAAACTATTATGACTACCCCATGCATTAGTGGGGAGCAACGCCTGCTGGAAACCGGGTCCAACGCCCCTTAAAAACATGAATTTTTTTTCTTATCAGAGTCCATTTGTACCTCTTTTTAGAGTTTTGCAAACGGATCACATATAATTATGTTTTGGTATTCCAACTATTTGGCAAGTTTTTCTCGCCTGGTGTAATGTTGTACTACAAGAGCGACGTTGATGGAAAGCATGTTTCCTTAGGCAGTATATTATAGGCATCCCAACGAAATATTGTTGGGATGCGCTATGCTTATCGGAATCTCCGTCATTCATGAGAAGGCCCCCAAAGAACGTGCCAAAAACCAAATTTTGTTATGGCCTTTTTTATTTTGTCTAATTTTTATGCCTTTCTTCAAGTCTGTTGTGATTTTTTCTTTCATCAACCCTTTTCTTGTTGATGAAACTTTATGTTTTAACCCATCTCACACAATATTACAAATCCAACAGCTGCAAAATCCCTCACAAAATCAAGGTGGTGGATAATATGGTCTGGCTGATGGTCTCCTAACAGTTGTTGTTCCATATCATCCACGAAACTAATTGTCTTAGATTTTTAGTTTTTTTAAAAACAAATTTTCAAGTCGAAAAAAAAATCTCAGTCATTGAAACTTTTAATCTTGCTAATAGACACTAGGCATGTCATTCTTTCATGGGATATTATTCAGGCTTTCTTGCGAAAATATAAAAATCATCCCCATTGGTGTTTAAGCATTTCCCTCACTAAGTAGTCTTCTCAAGATATAACACATCGTAATGGTATACTTAGTATATTATTATCCTTTAAATTCTCAAACAGTTAAATTTTGATCTCAATACTTATCACAAGGATATAGGTTTCAATCCCGTATTTCAATTGTTGGGTTGAAAATTAAAAAGTCGTTTGTTTCAACTACCCACATTTTTCGTACATTTTTATCTCCAATGGTCATTTTTTCGTCTTTCAACTTTTTATTCACTTGCTTACAATTTTCTATA